CGACACATTCTGAATTTCCTCCGCCGATCAAAGCTTATTCTTCCTGATGGTTTTCAAGAGTGGGATATTCTATCGGCTGAGGCAGACTACTACCAATTACAAGGGCTCAATCAACTTATCAACGAAACCAGAAAACGTATTCGGCAGTCTGACAACCAGGATCAGCCTAATACCTACGAATTTGTGGAGGTATATTTGTATCAAGGTCGTTTAGATAAAGGGTTGCGAATTGTTTGCAAACCAAAACTGATCGAGCAATCGTTAGCAACTACTTTAACTCATTTGATGGAGTTATCCACAGGCGATGATGAATACGTTTCTTTGTGTGATACCTCTATGGCAGAATACTTTGGATATTCAGTCAGATTAAAGTCGGCTAAGAAGGAAGGGTCACTTGAACTAAATCGATTAAAGTTGTTCAGAGACATAACCAATTGTGGCTTTACGTTGATATCGACGTCCTCTGTACCATTAAGGCCTAACGATGATGATAATGGGCCTAATTTTAAAATTAGAGACAAGTGGACATTTTCAAGAAAAGAAGTTGCCAAATAATAAATATACCTCGCCACTGCTATGCCATAAAATAATTAATCTTACTCTTTAAAAATATAGTATACTTGTCAATTTTATAATGCTCCGTGCCAGTTATAGAGCATGAGAAAAGAAAAGGAAAAATATGCTAGCATTGTTGATAAAACGTTTGATTTGATTATTAATATTGATGAACTTTAATTACATTTACAACGCAGTCAGAAAAGTTAAACCAGGTTAAACCTTCCCAACAACTGCCAGCGACTGTCGCCGATAAGATGAGCGATTCTATGGAAACCGAGTTTAATGTTACGTTACGCAGTACAACGATTGCACTGAAAACACTAGCAACAGTGTAGCGATTTTATGGAAACCATACCTGAATAGATTAGTCGTCGTGGATGATCAACAGTATCTGTATGAAGCTCCTCGAGTGTCATAGGTGTATGCTTTTCATTCATATTGTAGAATGTGTATACCACAGGAGTAGATCAAGAAAAAAGAAAATGAAATATATAAATAAATATTCCCATGGTTTTGCTGTATAAAATATATTATTGAATGCACCAAATTAAAAAAAATTGATTTTTTTTTAATATGATTTTTATATTCCAGTTATTTTTTTTTTATCTCAATTTACTATCAATCAAAATGTATTATTCTAAAGCTCTACTCACACTATCTCATTTTATGTGACAAATGTGTGATTTGTGCATATCACATTGGCCGTATTCGATTGGTCGTTCTTCGTTTTACCACGCCCACCTGCGCTGTGTAAAATCCTCAACGAAAATTCGTACTCAGCGAAATAAACCAGTCGAATAAGTCCATTGTCGCATATAATTTAATAGTGTGGACAGAGCTTTAAAATGAAAAGTTTGTCACTTTAAAATACACATACTTCTTTGGTATACACATCT